AAGAATTTTTAAAAACGAAAATATGAAAATAAGAAGGGGAAAGATGAGAACATTTTAATGTGTGTATGTGTCTGAAAAAAAGAGAGACAGAAAAAAGGAAAACCAAACTGAATGTGAGAAAATGAATATATAATTACATATATTAAGATCTTGTGAAGGAGATAAAAGATGATATGGAAGAAAGAAAGGAAAGTTGAATTGAAATAAAAAAAAAGAAAATTTTATAACAAATGAAAATTCAAGATAAATTTTGATTTATTTAGAGCTTGAAGATGAATTCTAATCTCATCTTACTCACCACGCCATACTTTTATATTGCAAAAGTTTTATTTGCTATATTTTCTTATCTCTCTCGCTACCAAGCACAATAGTATCGCTCGTCGTCGTCATAATCATCTCCTCATTCGTCTGGATTTAGCAATTTTTACTATTTCTCTTACATATATATTTATTATATCTTATACAGCATTTCACATTTAGATTATTCAGGATTCACAAAAGAGTTTTAAATACTTCTACGAGTGAATACAGAGTGATAAGAAACGTTCTGTCATTTTTTGTGTAGCTTCACATTAAATATTGTATGTTTAATCAAAAAAAGAATGATCATAGCTATAGAAGCTTTTTATTGCGGCTATTTGCAGAAATGATTGTGGTTAACTGCCTGAATGGCTATGATACACAAGAGGAAAATTTTTTAATCTGATGATTTTCTTATCTTAAAAGAGCAGCCATTGCCATAAGATTCAAAATGACGACAACTCGCACATTATTCTTTATCACCCAAGTTTTCCCTTTTCATAGTCATACCATACAAAGTACATCTCGTATGCTTGAAAAATATTACTCACTGTCCTGATACTCAAGAATGAAAAGGATTTTTATGTAAATGTATATTGAAATCTCCATCATTCTTACTGCTTTCCTGATATCATACACAACGATCTTTTGCTTCCATTCTCTCTTTGTGTTAGCCCGTTTACAGCATTCAATGTGTTGACTTTTATAATAAAAAATAATTTTATGTATTTTGTGAATGTCATATAACACAATTCTTATATCAAAAGAGAGTAAGCAATGGGGGAAATTCGAATTCAGAGGACGGAGTTGATGGTATTTGAAAATTTCAACATTATATACAGTTGCTTATCTTGACTCGACCATTCTCTCCTTTTGCATTACATACTTTAGTACTACTTTTCACTGTTCTTGATGAGTCAAAAATGAAATCGTATGTATTCCAGATGTTTTCCCTTAACACGATATGTATGTTAAAATACCTATATTAATAATAATCCGTATTAAATATTTATACTCGATTCATAAAGAGACAGTATGACATTTAACAAACCAACATTTTAAATATTTGTAATATATTTTTCGTACTCTTTGTGAAGTAATTTGGATACACTATTTTTTTAATAAAAAATTTTGAACTCTAAAAAATTAGAATCAAATCAATTAAATGAAATCGAAAAGGACGCACCCTGACTTTAATTTGCAATGAATACATTTTTTTATGAAAATAAATTCGATATGCCGCGAAAAGTAGTCATTCATTTGCGAGTGTGGGGATTTTACGATAAGAACCAGAGTGCTGTGGTGCTGTGGGTTTTGATAAGGATATAACAACATAAAAATACTATTATATTGCTTTACTTTTTACTGTATAGAAAAGCAGTATATATGTAGTTGAAAGATTCTAGTGCTTTGCTTTATTTACTAGTACTTATAGCAATGAGATGAACTGGACTTTCAATAGCTACAAAAACTTAATTTACAATCTAGTAAGACTTTTCATGAGATACGTAATATACAACATATATTTTAATATCATAAAAAATTTAAGCTTTAAAAACTCAATTTCATATAAAATTAATGCTTTGCGAACTAAAACTTATCGTAGTGTGCTTATGTCACAAGTGAAGCATTTAGAGAAGGATTTTCATATCCACGTAAAATTATTGGAAGCGTATGGAAATTCTTTCAATTGTCGATGCAAAATCCACAAAAAGTGTGCAATATAAATTGAGGATTTCATGGAAAAAAATCCATTAGCTGCTAATCGTAGTCATAAATCAAGATTTTTTCCTTTCATCGTATATTCTTTCTGAAAAAGAATGAACGTAAAGAGTGCAGTGCAAAAAACGACAAATATTGAAATAGCAACGAATTCCAATTTCCAAGATTTAATGGATATTTGAACATTTAGCGAAATCACCATTTATGTGCATAAATAAATGGATTTTCCTTACTTTTTTATGAATGTCTTCGATACTATTTAGATTTTCGTAAACGGTTTTCAATTTTTTCACATTATTCACATACCAGTATTAAATTTTTTTTTATTTTTTATTATTTAAAATAAAAATGAGATTTTTTTAAGCTTTCAAGTGTCTACCAGTGTCTACATTTTATATATGCACAGTTTTTTTTAAAAAAATAGAATGATTTTTGCATAACTCTATTTTTAAACTTTTCGTATAACTACAATTAGAAAATGTAGCAGGATGACATATCAAGTTGCACAAAAATATGTTATCTCATGATAACACTTTTCTTTCTTTCCATATTACTCTTCTTTTAAAAGGATAAAAAGAAGAAAAAATATTGTTGCAATTTTTCGTATCAATACAGTAAAAAAAAAACTTTGTGAATTTTAAGCATTTTTCATTCATCTGATAACTGCATTCTATGAGGAAAACTTTTTCCAGTTTTTTCATGCTGGTCTTATCTGAAGTGAAAGGCGAAAGCTTGTGCTTCCAGCAAACTGCTGATAAGTTTTTGTATAACAAAATCGTATGGTCTTACGTTGCTGCTTTTAATATATATATATATATATATACCTTATTTTCAGTTGATTTAAAAACAGATAGAAGCAGGATATAATTGTTTGAAATTTAAAAAAACTTAAATTTAAATAAGGTATATTTATATTCATAGCATAAACTTATAATATAATATTTTAAATTGAGAACTAATAATTTGTGTTGTTTCTTAAGTTATTTTTATTTTTTTCTCTAAAATTCAATCATTCATTTCACTGCCACAGACATTGCTTTTAGTAAAATGCAAATAAAAAGACATGCATCACCCGACACCAACAGAAACAAATGCGAGTGAAGATAATAAATTTTACTTCTACTCTAAATAGTAAGCAAGATGATTCGTACAAAAACATCCTAGCTTCCATAAATTAAGTCGTTATACTAAATCTTCTCGATGGATTTTCAGTTTTTTTCCTCAGAGTTATGAAAGAAAAAAATCAAAAAGAGGAAATTAAAATTTCATAAAGTTTCTCGTTTTCGGATATCAGTTTGCAAAGGTTTGAAATGGAAAAAATGAAAAACTATATGAACAAATTCAGTATTAGAATGGGTAATGGTAAATCATCCAACATACTGAAACAATTTCTCCTGTCTATTATTTTTCTTTCACATCTCACATCTCTTTTTAAAAACATTCAGAAAAAAAATACTTTTGTCTTAATTTAAATTTAAAATTTGACTTTTGAGTTAAAAGAAATGAGAATAAAGAGAAAAAAGAACATTATCAACATCAATCAGCGCAAACAATGACAAAGTATGATGTAAGAAACAAGGAAGAGATGAACAAACTGTAGATTATGATGTAAATTTTATGCTCCTTATCATTGAATAATGAATGTGTACTTTCTCGCGTGATGTCCTTAACACGCCCCCTTCATCTTCATTTACTGCTTGAAAAATTATGATTTCTCTTTAAATGGTTTTTAACCGCAGAAAAAGCAAGTAATAAGATAAGAGATGATGATGATTAATGAACGAATTACACAAAAAACTTCCATTTTTTACTGTTTAAATTTTGTGACATGTTTTTTTACCATATCGAACTTAAAATGCAAAATAATAACAACAAAAAAGCACAAAAGTATGATTCAAATAGAATTAGTTTTATTAAAAACTTAAAAATTCCCAAAAACATTTGTTCCTCAAAAGCATATTTCCTGATTTTAACTGTAAAAATAAAATTCATAAAGCTTTTTTGCCAGCTTTTTTTCAAAAAATTTCGTGACGTTATTACTAAGAAAAAAAAAGAAATTTGTTCCTGATTTAAAATTCTCCAATTACTAAAATATTTATTATTGTGTTGAAAATTATCGTATGCTAAAATTTATTTAAAAACTTTTTTTTGAATTGAAATGTACAAGATATATGAAATATCTAAATTTCAATTTTTGAGATATTTTGGTTTTTTTATGACGTTTCTCTTATTTAGTTTTCAAAGGGATATTGTTCATATGTGTTTGAATCTGTAGATTTCGAGCTTTTAAAATTTTAAGTTCTATATTTAGATGAAACTATTCAATAAATATTAAAGAAGATTCACCATAAAGATTCGAAATATTTTTTTTTCTATCACACCTCCAGTAAATGACGTATATATTTATTTTTTTCCTTGAATATTTGCCGCACTCAACGATGAACTGAAGAGAACATGAGTATCACGCGGTGTTCACGTTTCGAATGCATGATAGGTAACAATAAAAACAATAAAATCATGGTCATGTACATACATTCTCGAGCCCCCATTTTCGATTGGTTCGTCAATTGTATGAGTGAGAACTGTTTTTACAGGGTGTATTTTTTTTGTTTTTTGTAGTTAAATGTAAAGCATAAATTACGAAAATATGCAACATGATTTCAAAAATTTCATTTAAAATTTATAAGATTTAAGTTAGAAAATATTTTAATAATTGAATAATTCAGATTATTTAAAAATAAAGTCAAAGTTTGATTTTATTAACACCCTATACGATTCACAAACACATATAAATTCAACTTATAAATGAATCAATTCTTCTCAACAAGCTTTTACTGAATTTTCAACGTTCGTGCAATCTAAGTCGGTCTCCTGCTCTGTGAAGACGAGCCTAAAAAATTGTTAATTTTTAAAGGAAATAAATAAAAAATAAAATAAGAGAAAAAATAACTTCGATTATTAGACATTTAAATAATTATAAATTATAAATTATTTAATCAAAAGTTGTTTTAAAAAATAAAAGAAAAGCAAATAAAAGAATATGTCAAAAAGTATAAATAGTATAGAGATGGAATTGTCTTTACCTCCAACTCCACCGATGGATTTAAATGACTCTAATTCAAGCTGTGCAAATGAATTTCAAGTGAGGACAATGGAATTTTTAAAATACCATATCTATGAATCAGAAAGTTTAAAATAGTTTAAATTTCCCTAAGAAAATGTATAAAATCTAATTTGTGTTTGTGGTCACGTATGCTTATATGCAATGTCAGTGTTCGATTTCAATAAGAATCTGATACTATCATGAACAATAAATAATAGTGAAAAATTTTCTTGATAAAAAAGTTTCATTAGCAATAATTTTGATTTTTTTTTTTGTAAAATCAATAAACAATTTAAAATTTTCTTCTTATTAATTATTTCATTATAAGTATTCCAATTTGTTAAAAGATTTTTTAAATATAATTTCAAAAGCTTATAGCACAATATTTTAAAAACGAAAACAATTATAAAAAATTGTAATAGATGTACAGACAGTGCGAGAGAGATAGCAATAACATTTTCTGTTTCTTTCGCAGTCAGCGTTTCATTCATGTTGAGCACGCATTTATCAGCTGTTGTTCACGTGAACAGTTTCTTTTGTACATTTTCGACTTTGAACTCTTGCATGACGTCGCCTTGTTATACTAAAACGGGGTACAAAAACAGAGAGAATGAAACGCAAAACAACAAAAAATAATTTTAAACACTTAACACACCCATTCAATATATAGTCTGTATATTTCTCGGGCTCGTTCTATTGTTGATGTCGTTACTGTATGTTTCATTCTTCATTTAAATTTCATTACATACTTGTATGCAGCGAACACTGTTTATGTTATTTTTTTTTCTTTTTCTTATTAAAAATCTATCTATAATACTAGACATTGCGTCATATTTATTGATGATTTACAATAGAATATAAAAATAGAATGTATTCATTGAAACATATATAAAATGAATGTGAAATATTTAAATAAATAATGTTATCTTTAATTATTTAATTTACAGAAAATTGATGAATTTAATTCACTCAAACGGAAGTTAAACAACAATACAGGCATACCAAAAGGTTTAATTACACCAAATCCCTCTGATGAAGAGGACAATGAAACTGATTTACCACCTCAGAAACGTTTATGTGCTAGAAACTCTCGTTTGACGTCCGAACCTTCATCATTTACACCACCACCAGAAGAATTAAGCATCTATTCAAATATAGAATATCAAAGAAAAATTGAAACGATTCCAGCACAAAGAGTAAGTGTTATTATGCGTGCAAACAAGGATGGTACATGCATAACTCCTGCAACTGAAGTCATTAACCCTAAGTATGATGACAATGACATTAATTTAAATGTTTTTCGATGTGTAAAATATAAAATGGGAAGAAAAAGCAGTAATTCATCTTCTATCATGTATAATAATGATAAGAATATAAAGTCTTTGGACAATCCCTCAAAAAATCTTTACGATTCATCAATGCATGGAAGGACTGAAAATAAAATAACAGATTTTACACCCATTCTATCTGAAAAAAAATCGCCAGCACTTTTACTAAAAGTTTCTCAAAACATCGATCACAATAATCAGCAAATTCCAATGTTTGTCCCAAAAGTAGCATCACAAAATATTTTCTTCACAACACAACCAAGTAATAATATTACTACAACTAGGATTTTACTACTACCATCGTCTAATGTATCATCAACAATGATTACAACTCCTTCAACACAACCTTCAAAATCATTAAATTTATGCATTCAACAACCTGCTCAAGAACGTCGGCGTATATTCGAATGCAGTTACCCTAACTGTGGAAAAAACTACTTCAAATCCAGTCATTTAAAAGCTCATACTCGTAGTCATACAGGTGAAAAACCTTTTTGCTGTAAATGGTTGGGTTGCGGAAGACGTTTTTCAAGATCAGACGAATTGTCACGTCACAAACGTACTCATACTGGAGAGAAAAAATTTTCAGTAAGTTTGTTTATTATTAGACATATAAATAGCAAATTATTAATTGTTTTCTTCTTCATTTATTTTTTAATAGTGCAACGTGTGCGAGCGACGTTTTATGAGATCTGACCATTTATCAAAGCATGTAAAACGTCATAACAAAGAAAAGACTAAAACAAAATCAAACGTGAGTTTACCTAACTCATTAAATCCATCACTTGCTGTGCAAACACCACGACCTATAATTCCTGCAATTGACCTGTCATCAAATACAAACCAATATAATTTTGGTATATGCTAAGTTGTTATGATCTCATGACGAGATTTGCATTTCTTGCTTCTTTGAGTGGCAAAAAAAAATTATCGAAAAAACATGAAAGTTTAAATTAATTATTGTTTTGATGATGCAAATATATGCACTTTTAACTCAGTTTTATGAAATGTCCCTGCAAAAAATATCCTTTTCTTAATATTTGTTGTAAAAAAAATGAAAGGAAATGGGACTCTCAAGATGAAGAAATCTGTGATTTTTATAATAAAGATTTAATATCATTTTGTTAATCATTCAAAGGTAAAAAAAAATAAAAAAAAAATTAAAACAAAAAATTTAACTCAGACTACTTTTTATTATACAAAACAGTTTTATTTAATGTTTTCTCAGGTGAATTTTATAAAGTATATCCAATAGTTTCGTTTCATATTTCAGATCCAATAAAGTGAGTTTGAGATGTGGCATATTTCAATTAAGTAAAGATGTGAAATTTTAAAACTGAGATAAAAAGAGTATCACGACGCTATCACGTTCTCCACATTCTTTTAAAATTCGTTCAAAAACATATTGTCAAAACACTTTTGAATATTATCAATTTTATTCATAAAAGTACTGAAGGATTTTTATAAAATGTATGGCAGACAAACAAGCTGTTTTATGGTTTTGTAGATTTAATAAATGAATTGAATCTTAATGCCTTTAGAACTGTTGATCAACATGGTGTAATGTTGAAACGCTCTTTTATTCCCATAATTTAAAAAACATATATTGTTTTTATTATATAAATTGAAAAATACAATATTTGAATCAAAAAATTAAAAATGTTTTAAATTTATTATTAGTGTAGGGTAAACCATGTTGAAATTTGTGTTTTTGCACATGAAGATTTGATTTTCAAATAACTTGCTAATGGGGTCAAAAGATCAATAATTGTGGGAATTTTCAGTTAATAATGTTTTTTGAAGTATATGCTGCTTATGGGAAGAGATTTTTGACATTTTCGATCAAATGCAGAAATTTGTGCGAAAAAATGTTGAAATTTGTGCGTTTTATTAATAGCAATCTTTGAAATAATTGCAATTCTTAAATGTAAACAAACATATTATTTACATATTCTTGGAACCGAAATCGATATTTTTGCTGAAGGAACTACTTTGAATAAACTTTAAATGAAATTAAGAACATAAAGCTGATTTGTTTCAAACCTTTTCCTTAAGAAATAATGCAAGATTCAAGATTTAACTCAGTTTGAGCTGGCTGAGTTTACAACCGTCAAAGGAACATCCATTAAATCAGCAATTCCTCCATTTTTTTGTAAATTTTATGCAGCATAGAGTTTTAACAATAAAAACATGAGAATTAGGAAATCAAAATGTTTTTATTTAAAGATCTGAAATTAAACACTAAACAGGATATACTTTTTGAATGTATGGATATTCTTGAAGTCTTTTGCATTTTTTTTATTTTTATTTAAAATTTTAAATGATCCACGTTTTTTATTTTTTCATCTGTTATCAGTTTTTGACTTTCAGTAGTTCAATTTATGCTATTCTTCGTAAAATCCTATAAAAACATGAATATCATACGTAAATAATATTTGTTGTTGTCAAAAATTCCCATCGCTTCTACGACAAAAAGCGCACAAATTTCAAAATTTGTAAAAAAAATTCGCACAAATTTTAACATTTACAATCAAGAAATTTTAAAATCAATTTTTAAAGCACTTCCAATGATTTTTATAATTTGAATTTTTTTTGAAACAGAATAGCAATTATGAAATTTTATATTAAAACTGTGATTTGATTACAAGCAGCACTGGTTATGTCCAAATATTTAAAAATATGAACACAATTTCGTATAGGATTTTAAATTTTTCAAATTTAAAGCTGCTCCAAGATTCGAGAATGTCCAAAATGATGTAGAAATGTTTGTACAACCGTTTTACACAGAGCTGCAAACAAAATTTTGGTTTAAATGGCTTATTTGGGCTGATTTCTTTTTTATGTTGAAGCGAAACACTTTGGGTTCTTGATTTTGCACAAATATAAAGCCCCGAAATTACTTGAAGGCCACTTTATTTCACAAGATACCAAAGAAATCTCTTAACTAATAATAGAAAATGATTAGACATTTCGTCAACTTATATCTAAGTTGTTAACTTACTTCTTGTTTTCCAGTAACAATGAAATAGAGGTTTTTTTTACTTAATTTACGTCTTTTTAGATCTCAAATTAAATCTATAAAAGAGATTGAATTAAACATTGCAGGTAACAAACATGAGCAAAACTCTTACGTCTGAAGCTTTCTGGGTTTATTTTTTTTATTATTATTATTTATTTGTCGACGTTACCGTCCGGAAGAATTAGTATTTATACATGTTTTACTTTTTACATTGATTAGTGATACATTTCATATCACTATGGGTGACGTAGAATCAAGCTTCTAATCTTCAAATCTAGGTTTCAAATAAACTAAGGCTCTCGTTTCAATCTTCTGTGGGCGTGACGTGATACATTTCAGGTCCGTTCTGACAATATTCCATTATAAGGTAATCTTGTAGCTCTCGTTCCTATTTCTCCCGCTACACTTCAAGTTCCTGATCCGTTCCTTAATCCAACGTTGCCCAAAATGCCCAATTATGGCTTGACTCGTACATTAAGCAGTTGAAGTATCTAAACTTCTGAAAAAGAACAAATTTGGAAATGGCTGGATTCGAACCGACGACCTTCGAGTTACCATACCAAATTTGAGCCAAGCGCCTTACCTATTCGACCAGCAAGGCACTTAACTGCTTATTTTGGTTATGAATCGGTGACTGGAATGACAAAGTTTTCTCTCTTTCTCGTTCGATAATTGTGTCTTTGATAGGCCGTTTGAATATTAACATTGTTTTTAAGCATGTTAGACGCGATTTTAAAAACTTGAATGCAAACACCAATTTGACAAAGTGTATTGAACGGAAGAATTCTTATGCTATACAATTCTGATCTGCTGCAGAACCAGTTTTTATTCAATAAAATTCTTAAAGACTTTCTTTGGGCAATTTCAAGCGAGTTTAAGTTGTACTGGGCTGCTGCTGACCATACAGTATTCATATACATAAGTCGCGACTGAACATGTGCATAATAAAGAGCTATCGCTGTTTTATCGCTTAGTAATTTTCTCACTCTCTTAACTGCATATGAAAACGATATAATTTTATCTTTAATAGATTATATGTGATCTTTAAATGAAAGCGTTTCGTCAACTAATAAGCCTAACACATTTACTCTTTCTACACGTTCTAATGTTCTACCGTTGAATTGAATATTAAGCGACGTTTCGGTAAAGTTTTCGAACTTTTTTTTATTGTGGAACAATATGTACTTGCTTTTGTCAGGATTTGGAGTGAGTTGATTAAGATTAAGCCATTTACTAATTTGATCTAAGTCATGATCCATCATATTCTTAAGTTCTTGTGGATTATCTGCTACATTAGTTAAAGACATGTCATCGGCATATAACCCTAGTTTGCCTACAATTCCAATATTAAAGATATCGTTTATGTACAAATTAAAGAACGGGTTTGATAATATACCGCCTTGTGGAGTGCCTTTCTTAATGATTTTGAACGAGCTTATTATATTTGAGATTTTAGTGGCTTGCTTCCTATCTTCAAGATATGATATCAGTAATTTGATGAAGGTTTTATCGAATTGAAGTGATTTTAATTTATTAATGAGTATGTCATGTCTAATGGAATCGAACGCTTTTGAGAGATCAATACATGTAAGAGATACGGCTTTTTTATTGTCAATACCGTTATAAATGTCATGAAGAATATGAGCTGTCGCGACTTCAGCATTTGAATTTTTAACGAAGCCGAATTGATTGCAATTGATAATATTATTACTGTCCAAATGATCTTGCAAGCGACGTTGTATGACGTACTCAAATACTTTTCCTACAATTGGGCTAACAGTTATTGGACGATAGTTATTTTTATTTTTCCTATCACCGGTTTTATAAATTGGTGTTACAACTCCAACTTTGAGTGCGTCAGGAAAAGTGCCATCACGAAGGTTTATATTTATCAACTTGGTTAAGGAACTTGTCAATGCTTTCCCGTGCATTTTAATAAAATTATTAGACATACCGTATATATCGATCGCACTAGAGCATTTTAAGTTGTTAATTATCATGCAAATCTGATCTTCAGTAGCTAATGGGCATGTAAAGTTATGACTTATCTCATATGACAGACTGTGATTAATTGGTGGTATATTTTGGACACATATATTATTAGGTGTTACATTGGCAATGTTGATAAAGAAATTATTAAAGTGCTCAGCAATTGCACTGGGATTAGATACTGGTATACCATTTTCAGATAAGAGTGAGCAAGGTGGATCATGAATGTGTGATTTATTATACAAAACTGAGTTGATATTTTGCCAAGTTTTTCTTGAGTCATTGAGATTTTCCGCAAATTTCCTATCGTAATAATCTTTTTTAGATTTTCTTACGAGTCGGTTGACCAAATTTCTATAATACTTAAATCTTGTTTTAATCTCGATACAATAGGGATGTCTTGCTTTAATGTCGATATATGGCTTAATACATGGTAGTTGAGCTTTACTTTCAGCTGTGTTATTTATTATAATCTTCTGAATTGCTAGAATTGCTAAATTAAAGTCTTCAAATGTGTTACAGTCTAAGTTTTCGAGTACTTTGGAATTAAGAATTTTTTGATTATTAACGCGTTTGTACTGAATTGTCTTAGCATTTTCATATTCATTGGATTGCCTTTGTATGCTTAAGATAATATTCTTGTCGTCGGCTATATTGTCAAACAGAAACATTTCATGAGATAACGGATTCTTGTAGAAATGGAAGTCAGTAAATATGTGATCTATGCAAGAGCTCGAATTATATCTATAGTTAATGCGCGTTGGATATTCATTTGAGGTGGAGTTTAGGAATGACAGCCCATTTGAGTTTACTATGTCCTTATAATTATTTACAAGAGGAGCAGATCTATCGAACAGATTAATGTTAAAGTCGCCGAAGAAATATATTTTACTGTAAGTGTTTAATAAGAGATCAAGTTTGTTCAGGAATATTCTTCCGTCTTGATCAAGAGAATTATTTGGCTGCCTGTAGCAAAGACCTACGTGAATGTCGTGTATTTATTACTGAATAAAGTTTTGTTAATTCCATTTAGTTGATTTAATTCACATTCTCAAATATTTCCATTTTTTCATACATTTGAATCCTATCCTTCCAACACTCCTCTTATGTTGTTGAAATTTTCCTCGTTTAACAGCATGTCTCTTTCCAAAATCCCCTTTGTTAAACTATAGACTGCCTCTTCTTCATCATTGATTTCATAAACACTTTCATTTTGCCAAACGGATTTGTAGGTCATTATTATTCTTAATGATCTTTTCTTGACCTCTGTACTTCCATATTCGACTAAGAAACGAGATATCACATTGAAACTAATCGTTTCATCCACTGACATTATGACTTTATCGTCGAGCCTTCTTTCGTGGTGAATGTACTTAAGCCAAATCCCTTCCAGTCCGTTTAGTATCCAACCGTCAGCTTCCATCTCTATTAATATTTCAATTATCATTTCTTCAGGAAATACTTTAGAATACGAGCTTCCTGCATCAAATGATATGACTCTCGGCAATTTCTTGACATCACCTTTCAATTCTTCTGGCACTCTTACAAAATTCATTCCTAATGGCCTTCTCGTCTCTTCTACGATTAACCGATATCCCTTTACTATAACTACTTCGCCTCGTGACATGAATGTTCTGAATTCGATATCATTTTTAATTCCAATCACCATAGATCGGATGTTATTTGACGATTGACAATTATGCACGCTTGTGATAAAATTAAGCTTATATTCCTTTTGCAATTTGATCATTATGTCATACCATTTCAATCTTCTTGGCACATCAGAGATTTTTATATAGTACGTCTGTTTCATTGACTGGTTGGATGTGAGTAATTTTACTGCATTTATTGCTGACTTATTCATCAGTTCACGCACTGAATCTTGATCCAAGCTTGTTTGCATTTTTAACCTTTCACTCTGATTAGACTTTACTTCTGTTTTCCTACTTCTAATACAAATTAACGGTTTAATTCGTTTTAAATGCTGGTTTCGATATGTTGCAAATTGTTTCGTTAAGTTGGAAAAAAATGTGTATGCACCTTAATGTTGACATTAATGTTTGAAATTTATCGTGAAGATGTGACTATAAAATTTTATTTTTGGTGCTGATTTGAGTGTCTGTGACTAACGTACTGTTCTTACTAAGGAGAAACTGCTTCAATCTACGCTTAAAGAGAGGAATCGAGCTGATAGATCTCAATTCTGATGGAAGACAATTAAATATTGAAGGTCTTATACATTCTATATCATTTGACCTAATTGTTAAAGTTGATGCTTGTATTTTCAGCAATTTTGTTCTTTCAGATCGAAGTTTCTCCACTTTAATTAACGCCTCATCAGTTGATTGCAGAGATTTATGGATCATCATACAAATTACATAAAAAATGATGCCCATTATCGGAAGAATTTTTGGTGCGACTTTTGTGTACAGGTCCACAGTTCTTGTAAGCAGCGGAAGTTTATAGATCATCTTTATTATCCTGTTTTGTGATGTTTGAAGCTGTTTTAAGTCTTTCGTCAACAATCGAATTAATAAGAAAGTGCTGTACATCAGATGAGATTGGAAGTTAGAATAGTAAAAATTCAATAGAGGATTTATCATCAATTTATTCCTCATGACTGCTACTTCACCGATTGTCTGGTTAATTTTTGTTTTTAACCCATGTAAGTGACTTTTAAATTTTAATTCGTTGTCCAATATAATCCCAAGATATTTCATTTCATCCTTGATTATTATGTGAGAGATAATTATGAAGTTATTATTGTTGGTACATTCCTCATACACAATATTTGCTGTGTCAAATTCATTAAGGACAAAGATAGAGGCACCTCCACCTATAGAGCTGGTTCTGGTAGAGTGTAAGGAGTGATAATTATTAAGATTATAATACTGTTTTTCCGATGGCTTTATCCATGTCTCAAATTTAAATTACATTATTGGGTGTTACAACATTATTAATTTCAATCCATCTCATCATTTTCGTAACCCAATCTTAAAATCTCACATAATTAAGTACGACATTATTGATACTTCCAACATCTAAGTTACTTTTGTTATTAAAAATATCTTCAACTTCACTTAGCTTGCGTATTATTCTAACTGGCTGTCAATCACCTGATACAAGTTCTCGTAAAAATGCTTCCGAAAAGATCTGACGTTCAGACAAATATTTAGTCCGCACCAGGAACTTATACGTGTCCATCAAGTAGAACGGTGACCTAACGAATTGAGTGATGGACTATATATGGGTTTTTTGTGCTATTTTCTGAAAGCAGAAAAATAACTTTTTTAAATTTTGTGAAGTTTCCAGTTCTGAGATATGAGCATCTGAAAACGGAGCTAGGGCCGATTTTTTACTTTTAACACTTTCGACTGTAAATCTGACAAGGCTTAACGAAAATTGTTCAAACTTGGTCAGTAATTTGTGCAAATGTTTCTTAATCAAATAAAATAAACGAAATATTTTTATCTAGCCTTCCTGCGAAAATATGGGGATTCTACCGAAAGAATAAGTTAATTTTGCACTTATACTGCTTTTGTTGGATTCTGCGATTAGGTTCCCTGATAAACTCAATGACGTCTCTGCCGTTACTCATTTTGATGCTTAATAACTAACTGGATGTTCAACTTTGTGAAAACGATAATTTTCTGGATGTCATTTTTTTTGTGCAAATTAATTTCGTGTGACGCCAGCTTGGCCTCCCGTTGGGTGATGTGATGATGTTTTGTAGCGAAACACTTTGGGTTCTTGATTTTGCACAAATATAAAGCCCCGAAATTACTTGAAGGCCACTTTATTTCACAAGATACCAAAGAAATCTTTTAACTAATAATACAAAATGATTAGACATTTCATCAACTTATATCAAGTTGTTAACTTACTTCTTGTTTTCCAGTAACAATAAAATAGAGATTTTTTTTACTTAATTTACGTCTTTTTAGATCTCAAATCATATCTATGAAAAAGATTGAATTAAACATTGCAGGTAACAAACATGAGCAAAACTCTTACGTTTGAAACTTTCTGGGTTATGAATCGAAAAGTTTACTGGATCTTATTTTGATCTTTAAATACAGCCTAAAAGTTATAAAGATTAAAGTATCTATGCTTTAACTATAAAATTTGATTAACTCTTACAATAATACCGCCTTCCAGTGACCAATATTATTATGGCTGATCAAAATCTTCGTTTTGTTTCCAGCTTCTACATGTAATGTTTCAATAATTAATATTTTACTCACTATGTAAATTCTTTTCATTTGTTACCTAATGTTACAACTAATTCAGACTCAATCCTTAATTATAGTAAATTAATATAATTAACTTTACACTATTTTAAATTAAAAGTGTATATAGATAATTTTCATAAATCTAACTGAGGTAACGTAAGAAAATTTAAAATGTGCATAACCGTTAAAATTTTATACTCTCGGAAATCTTTAAAATTTTCTACTGCTTCAATGTGAGCGCACAAATTTTAACATGGTTTACCCTATTAGTGTATTATATTAAAAAAATAAAAATTTAAACTGCCAACATTACAGTTTCTTTAGTAGGCTCGATAAAGCTTGAATTACAAGCTTGACGAACTGCAAGTCCCCATGTTTCTAAGATGTGTGTTAAAGAATGTGTAGATGGTAATTTTGAAATTCGTGCTTTTAATGCCTTTTTAACTCTGATAAGAAAATCAGTATCATCATATTCATGATCAATAATGTTGCATTGAGGTGCGGTAGATGGATAATCTTCGGGAATATAAATATTAATTGGTGGAACGGGTGGTAATTGTTTATCATCTAAACAGCAAATGAGAGCAACAACTTTTGATCCAACAGAATGTGTTGTCTGATCTAAGCTTATTTTGTATTTTGAATCAAGTCGTGCTATTTCTCGTTGAAGAATATGTGAAATGGAAGTTGTTGATGCCAAATCAGAATGATCATCAGATAACTTTAGCTTTTTAGCAGGTGGCAAATTTTTAATATCTGGCCCAAACCATGCTTCTAAACTTGGCTTAAATGTTCTGTGCAAAATATGATTTCCCAATGGTGATTGTAAACTGTTGACGATTGCATCATACAATGGGTTGTTTATGGATGAAGGTTGAGGATCTTTTAAAGCACCAAATTGATTCTCTAAAACAATCTCACATTTGACTAACGTTTCCAACGGTATCCTTGTGTGTGGGTTAGATAATATTTCCAAAAGTTTTTTTAGTTTTGTAATCTTCTCAGAGTTAATCCCGTCTGAGCCTACACGAGAAATTATTTTTTTCAGTGGTTCCTTATATTTCGTTAATCTGTTGTATTTTTCACGATATATTTGATCATCGGCTGGATTCATAGGGCTTTGTACAGCTTGAATCGGTTGTCCCGGTGTATTCATTGGAGCACTAGGTGATGGAGCCATTACATTTGTAGACATAGAAGCCCTTGCTTGATTCGACATCTGTGGTGAAGGAACCATTGTTGAAGTAATACCAATCGGTGATGGTACTGACATAGGAGAAGGTGATTGGCGAAGAAAATTAGGGGTTACGCTCCGGACTGGCGGGAAAGCGCCTGCAATTTCTTGTTTTCGCATTTGTTGCATGTTCATTTGAATCTGTTGCTGATTGTTATTAATCATTGGATTTTGTTGATTTGAAACCTGACCAACAACTTGGGATTGACCGATCCCCATAGGATTAACCATTTGGTTTTGAACTGGACGAATTGAGTTCATCATGCCAGCATTATTTGGATTATTCATCATCATCATCATTTGATTTTGGTTAATCATATTATTCATTTGTTGATTGCTTCCCATATTACCTTGAACAACTATTTGTCCACCTTGATTCATCATATTTCCTTGAACTGTTCCCATCATTTGATTCATTGGATTGATTTGCTGATTATTCTTTCCTTGAGTTCCAGAAAGATTTGGTGGCATATTTTGATTCATTTGCATTTGGTTCATTGGATTCATTTGCTGCATCATATTTGCTTGATTAATTTGCTGTTGTGGTCCTTGTGGACGTATTAACTGAGATTGATTCACATTATTTAAAGATTGCTGTGCTTGCGGTTGTTGCACATTACCTTGCTGAGAATTTTGAATCATATTCACTGAAGTATTTATCTGCTGCTGTTGATTCATCATCTGAGAATTGTTATTTCGTGTTCCCTGAGTTGCTAGATTTTGTAGTGCATTGATGGGATCTTGAATGCTAGGATTGTTTATTTGCTGTTGGTTCGGCAAATTTTGTTGTGGTCCTTGTGATGTATTTCCGCCATCTATATTTTTATTTTTATTGTCTGCATAATATTTTGAAATATTTTTCTCAATTGAAAAACAAAATAGAAAAATCAAAATACTCACTCATTTCCCGTACGTGTATAATCAAACGAGCAACAAAACTTAAGTATTCATCTTTGCTTCTAGCTTTACTGAACACATGACTTTCCATATCAACAGTATTCTTTTTCGGAGTAAGATCAGAAGAACTAATGGCTTCATTGCTATAAAAAAAATTGATAATTTATGATTTCGAACAATTAATACAACTTACATTTTATTAACGACAGATTGTCGAAATGAAGGACTACGCCAAGAAAGATCTTCATCCATTTTTGATCAGTTAAAGAGTGATTTATCAATAGAAATTTTCAATAAAGTTATAAAACTTTCTTTAATCAAAAACTTTTTAACAAGGGGTAGAAAACTAAATTGAAATTTTGTGATGAAATAATAAATGTTTGATTTTTATATGTTCGTTATTTTTGAGTGTATACCTAAGAATTAAAAAGTTTTAGTACTTAAGATTTACTCAATAAATGATAGCATTAAGTTTTAAGAGTATATCTCTAGCTATGGGGCAAAATTGAAAAAAAAGGGTCTTTCACTTTGAAAATGGAT